CGAATTACATATCATATCTTTATTATAGATTTAATTTCTTTAATTTTCTGTTTATTTCTATCAAATAGGACATATAATAAAAATTTTGATATTTTTTTAGTTTATTTTACTTGAAATTAAAATATAATAAATATTTTCGATAAAATTTTGATTTTTTGGTACTTCGGTTAAATAAAAATTAAAAAAAAACACAAAAATGAATATTAAAATCTTAAAAACTAAAAACAAAATTCAATTTTTAAATCGAACACTTCGGTTCAATACAATTTTTCGATTTTGACCAAATAAAACACATCCACGTGGAGGTGACAAAAAAAAAAAATCGTTTTAGCACAAGAGAGTATTACCCCCGTGTTATTCAAGTGTTATTGTGGTTGTTTTCATGTATTATTGTGTTCTGATAATAATCACGGTGTTATAGTAACATAATAAAATATCAATACCACCACAATAATATTTGAATAACTCGGAATAACACGGGAGGAATATTCTCGTATTACCAGGTCGAATCATAAAAAAATAAGTTTTTTTTTTTTCCTTTTTATCAGCTCCACGTGGAAGCGATTCATTGAAATCCGGACGTATCTCTACGTCTGAAGTCCAGACTTAATAATTTTCGTGGCTTGCCACCAGGCCACAGCAACTATACAAATAATTTTTATAACACTGCACATCCAACAAAATATTTTTTTTTGGTATTTAATAAAAAAAAAACCTAGATTTTTAAAACAATATAAAAAAGTATATATATAAAAAAATAGGTTGATCAATGTTGACTTATACTAATTAATATTAAAATTATAGAATAATCATAATAGTTTAATTTCTTCTTGATTTTAAGTTCTATTTATTTATTTATTTAATTTAGGGAATTATATTTTCATGATTTTAACTTATAAAATAATCATAAAAAATATCGTGATTTTAACTTATAAAAATTAAAATATATATTTTCATGCAAAAATAAGTTGGTATGTATGTAAAAAATGGAGGTTTAGGTCATTAGGTGTTAGCGATGTAAATACATAAGAATTAAAAATATATAATGATCTACATAAATATTTAAAATAATTTAGCCGACATGTAAATTAAGACGAGGAATTTCTTCAATTTTATAGAAAAGAAAAATATTGTATAAAATGGAATGAAAAAAAAAAAAGTGGATTTTACATAAAGATCGCTCAATTCCCATGTATTTACGTATCTAACACTAAAATTTTAGTTTTTTACTTTTATAACATCCAAAATTTTCATATCAGATAAGAAATACCATCATCCAAAAGTGTCCAGGCAACACAACGTCTCACCTGAGAAAGATGAAAGAGACTACAGTAGCGAACAATAAAGAGTGCGTAAATTTTATTACTGATAGGGATCCCCTATTTGTAGGAATGAGTCTTTAGTTTTACAAAATTATAGATCTAACCCTTCATCACTAATTTTTTTGAAGATGTCACTAGTAAGTTACAAGGGTATTTCAATACGATAAGGCCAGTTGATTCATCCGAATGGTGAGAAGCTCGTTGAAAGCTCGTTTCCCTTAGACTCTGTCGGCACTTTGATATAGGGTTGAGTTATCTGACGACCGACTTGAAGAAGGCCGATGGTAATTTTGATGGACGAGGTCCTTTGGTACGGTTATTGTCACCTTACGTTTTCCTTGCCAGCATTGGATCCATCGATTGTTGGGCAACTCGTCGTCGTTGATGGTTATGGACGATCGGTCGTGTAATATATCGCCAGTTTTCTTCTAGGCCGTCTGATAGTCTTGGAATTTCCATTGATACATTTTTTGTATACATAATTATTTTATCGATTCCCTTACTTTTGGAAAATTGTGAACCACATAAGAACAATGAAATCTTTTTTTATTATTACAAAAAGTCTAAAATAAACTAGAATGTCATTGTCACTCAATAGCTCACTTCCTTGGAATTTCGAGCTAAGGCTTGTTATAAGTAAGCTATAGGGTAAGAAGGTTTCGCGCCGACTTCTTTCTTTCTCTATTCTTAGTTCTTCGCTCTTCTTTTGTTTTTTTATTTTTCTTTTTGTCACGATGTTTGGTTAGGGGGCTCTGTCTGTTGATAAGGACACCCTCTTTAAGGCTTTAGGTGGCATGCGAGCAAAATCTTGAAAATTAGATGAGAAGCCTCGTGATGAGCCAAACGACAGCCGCACAAAGGTTAAGGACCGGAGATCGTGAGGATTGAATCAGACCCTCTGATCCCATCGAAGGTCTGTTGTAAGGGCAAACTTTGGAAAAAGGTCAGAGATTCTCATGACGATTGCCTTATTGGCTTTTTACCAATGGTGAGTGTTTGTTCTGGGCGGAAAGAAACGCATGTTCAGAGCATTGAGGGAGAAATAGCTTCTTAAGGTGTTCCACATGAAGCGGCGATTGTGACAAAAACATCATTTGATCTGTCATTTTTCAAAGTCTGTACTGTATACTATGTTTTAACTGTTACGATTGCAAAATACATGTTGGAGGATTTTTTATGTGTAAAAAGGATGCATGAATTTCTTTAAAGTTGCACATCTTTTTGAATGCAAATGCACTTTAATGAAATGTATTTGTATGTTATTCTTGCAGGTATAACATGTAAGTGGAGTGGAATAAAGTGGAAGAAACATGGAGAAAAAATGAGAAGGAATTGAAGAAAAAGAAAAATGGCATAAGAAGCCTGAGGCCATAGTGCTACAATTGCGACGCCTAGGCACCAATCAAGAGAAAGCAAGGCCTCAACGCCATATCAGTGTGGCGCCTAGGCACCCTATATGCTAAAGATGACCCGAGAGACTAACGCCATGGCCTCAGGTCTGAAGGAACAAGACCATGGCATCACAATCGAGGCGCCAGTACCAAATTCTAGGCAGTTTCATGACGGTTCCTAGCGGTTACTCATTCGTATGTTGAATCTTTTGGTTTTAGTGCATATTGGTGTTTTATCCGTGCTTTGTGAGTAATTTTACTTGCATTTCCTTGTGGTGTTTTAGTAAATGTGTAGGAGTATTGAATTGAATATAGAAATATTCTTTCAAATTAATTTTTAACTTCTTTCTGCACTAAGTTTGTTTTTCAATCTGGTCAATTGATTTGTTAAAATATGTTGTGAGCCCTTAAGAACTCAAAAGAGCCACGGCATGAACAACTAGGAATATAACTTTGAATTATAGGGTATGAATCAAAGTATACTATAAGGAGATGCAAATAAATAGGGAGATACTTTTCATTGAGTTTAAGTGGGACTTAAGGAATTAAGGTCACTTTTAACCAATCTTCTTTATACACTCGGAAGATGGTAAAGAAGATATATGTTTATACTTATCACAATTTACATGTTATTTCACATTTAGTTACACCTATACTTTACTATTATCACTGCAAGGGAAAATAAATTTCAGCTCTTGACAAAACACATTTACATAGAGTAGTTAGAATTCTTGTAGAAGTAATCTTAAATAGTTGTAGTAGGTGTGTTATTACAATTTAAATATTTAATATTTCAAATTTTTCTAAACTAGGAACAAGTTTAGTAGACTGGAATATTGTCCTATCTTGGCTTCCCAGTGTTTCTCTGTGGTTCAACAACCTGTCTTTTTAGAGATTGTTATTAATTACAATTGATACGTACACTTGTGTCAAGCAACCCCAACGTTAAGGATAAAATTGCATTTGAAAGTCTGAACAAGTACCTTGGATAGAATAAACTTTGCAGCACTTTTCCCATAAATTGAATTATTGTACTCGTTACTGGGGTTATCAAGGATCACATTTAGGTGGTAAAAGGTCGCCTTTCCTTAAGTTCTGGATGTCCAGGGGATCATGTTTCACGTTGCTTATGGCTACTACTCTGAGCACCTCTGTGAATTGTCCTGACTTCTGGTTAATGATTTGAGCCCTCAAGTCTTACAAACTTTGCTCGATGGATTCTTCCATGAACACTCAAGTGCATGCTGCTTCTACCATGCTCCTGTGACTTGATTTTCCTTGTCGTTGTTGTTGAGTTCATCTTCTTGTTGATGACATGTTTCCGTGCTCACCACAACTTAAAGGATGTTGAATTCAAAAGTCTTCGGGAAACACACCCAAGGTATAGAATATCTCACCAAGGAAAGATAAAAGAGAGCACTCTAGAGAACAATAAATAGTGCCTAAAATTTAATCATGATAGAGACCCCCATTTATAAGAATGGGTCTTTAGTCTTACAAAATTACAGATCTACCCTTCATCACTAACTTTTTTGAAAGGCCCTTAGTAAATCACTTGAGTATTTGAATACAATAAGGCCAATTAATTCATCCAAACAGTGCGATGCTTATCGATCGCTCGTTCCACTTTTGACTTCGTCGGCACTCGAACTAGGGTTGAGTTATCTGACGATCGGTTAGATAAAGGTCAATCGTCATTTTGAGGGACGAGGTCCTTTGGTACGTTTGTTGGCACCTTCCACTTTTCTTGCCAACATCTAATCCATTGATCGTCTGACAACCGTCCGTCATTGACGATTTTTTTGGTATTTTTGAACGTTATAATATAAAAAGTAAAATTTATGTGATAAATATATAAATACAAAGGAATTTAAAGGTACGTATGTAAATACCCACAAAAAAAAAACCGAAATTAAAAATTTGTGAGGTCATTTTTCCCCTCAATTTCTTCTTCTACAAAAAAAAAAAAAGAAAAATAATTCCTATTAAATTTCATTAATATTTTTATTTCATTTTCTTTTTATTTTGTCTCTTAATTTATTCAAACCAAAGTTTTCATGCCATACTAATTACTTCCTAACACTATTGAATTTTATTATTTGCAGTTTTAAAATATTATTTTGAGGTTACCTTATGCTTTCTATCAGTTTCAAATCCTACCGATTTCATATCACAATCATCTTGACCTGCTTTTAGATTTCTGATGAAACCCAAGTCACAGATTCAATGTTTCCACTGTGCAATAATTGAATGCCAATAAGTCAAAAATATGTACTATTTACACCCACTCAAATTAACATATTACAATTTTAAGAGAAAGAGAGCATCGACATCTCATTTGATCTCATAACTTTACAATTACAAAAAGAAAAAAAAAATCAGCTATAACATACATACAAAATAAACATTTTATAAGCATCTAATAATGTGCTCAGGTGTAATATCACTATCATTTTCAGTGCATTTCTTATTGATGTTGCCATTGTTCGCATTATCATCAAGATTATCATCAGAAGCAATGCGATATGAGAAATTCCTCCCAAGATGAAAAGATTTCACTCGACTGTAAACAGATGTGCTCGAACTTCTTCTAAATTCATTCGGTTCCTCAGCCTCTGTCTGATTCTTTTTAAATATTTTGAAAGATTGACCCATGTGGCCCTTGTTTTCGTTTAAAGAGAGACTGTCTTTGCGGGCGGATGAGAGCACCAAAGCGCCCTGTGCTTCGCCCTCGGATTCTTTGACATTATATGTTCTCTCTTCAAATCGGCCATGAAGGGAACAGTCGGGGTTTTCGTGCGATGAATTGACATTTTCAGTTGTTTTCGTTTAAAGAGAGACTGTCTTTGCGCGCGGATGAGAGCACCAAAGCTCCCTGTGCTTCGCCCTCGGATTCTTTGACATTATACGTTCTCTCTTCAAATCGGCCATGAAGAGAGCAGTCGGGGTTTTCGTGCGATGAATTGACATTTTCAACATTACTTTCGTTTGCAATCGATGGGTAACTCAACACGGAATGCGGCGCCAAAACATCCAGATCTTTTTTGGATGGAATCACATAACTTGATAGCTCTCCTACATTCATACCGGGTTGCCATTCTGACACCAATGAAGAAACTTCATCATCGATCAACTCGGCAATCTGTATGATATCATAATCACTTATATTCAACTCGGTGATCATTTCCGCCGCAACGCCAATCGCGGTATCATTTTCAATGTCGAAAGGAAAGAAGATGTTTCGAACATTGCCTGCACGCGCCACAAAATCACAAATTAGAAAAGTTCATTATGTTGGAAAATAGCATTTGTTATATGTTGTTAACATAACATAAATTACCTTCTCTTTCAGATATTCTAAGACTTAGAAAGATGCCGCCATCATCTCCCCTCGTTCCCTTGATTGTAATTTCCAAATTAACACAAGAATCACTTACCGGACTACGAAATGCATCAAAGCTATCTGCTTCATATTCCTTAAGAGTTTGACTCATTATTCTGATTTCTTGTTCCGAATAAGTTGGATCGTGCTCATCGATTTGGAGAAAAGGATCGTTTAAAAGCTCCTTTGCGGAGGATCTCTCGGACACCTTTGCAATGCATTTCTCCACAAATTTTCGCACTTCTGGATTCCTTACTTTATATAAAGCATTTGGTTTTCGACCCTATGTAACATGACATTTGTCGGTAAGGAACAATAACAAATAGATCGAATATAACATCACAGAATTTTGATCCTTACAGAGATCACTTTTTTGTAGATTTCGACGGGGTGGGTACATTCGCTATATGGATATTCAAGTGTGACCATTTCTAGAACACACATTCCGAAAGAGTATATATCTACCAATTCGTTGTAGGCCTCTTCATATACCTCCGGAGCCATGAATTCAGGTGTGCCTAAACAAAGATTAAAGTAGAGGACAATTATAACCAGGGATAGGTACGTGCATAGCACTCGGTTCATTTTTTGAACTACCAAACCAGTGAATTTACTCGTGCCATGATAAAATCATTAGAAATTTGATAAATAATGAAATTGAGATGGAAATTGAAAACAAGATAAAAGAGGCTGCTAATCTTGTGAATAGCAAAATTTTTAGTGATATCCATGTAATCGAGATCTCGGTTCGAAGAAGACAGGAAGGACAAGAAAGAGAAGTACCGACACAATGGTCCGCGAGCGGTTTTCGGAGGATTGCGGCAAGACCCAAATCACCAATCTTGACCTCTCCTTGGTTTCCATTAACAAAAATATTGTCGCATTTGAGGTCTCTATGAATGATGGGAGGGTCATGACTATGGAGGTAAAGCAAAGCACTTAAGATTTGTCGGCACCAATGCTTCAATGCTTTAATGTTAACCCTCCTATGCTTCTGCCTATATCTGAATTTCCACTGAAATAAATCAGTAAAACTACAAAGTGCAACACCCCGAAATCCTATGTATTTACATATATAACAACTAAACTTTATTTCTTATATTCATGCCGTCCAATTCTTTCATATCACATGAAAAAACATCACTATTTTAACTTTTAATAAGTGAAATATTTCTCTTGAAATTGAAACATAGATAAAAATTGAAGTTTAGGGGATACATGTGTAAATACATAGAAATTAAGGGGTATGTATGTTAATCTTCCAAATAAAAAAAAATTTACATATATATATATATATATCACTCAATTCCTATGTATTTACATATCTAATCCCCAATCCTCAATTTTTAACTACATGCCATCTTATCTACCATGAAAAAGCATATTTCACTTTTTAAAACTTAAAATGATTGTAATTTTGATGTGATATGAAAGATTATATGGACGGCGCTGATGTAAGAAAGTAGAGTTTAGATGTTAGATATATAAATACATAGGAAATTAGTGGGTTTTATGCAAATGCCCAATATATAAGATAAATGAACAAAAAAAAAAAACTTACTGTCTTAGAGTGCCAGAGGTAAACATCTCTGTGATAAAGTTGATTTTTCTCTTGGAGGTATCAACCCAAGAGGCATGAAATTTCATGATGTTCTTATGTCTTAGGGTTTTCAGAAGATGAATCTCACAATAAAGCCTCTCCAAATTCTCAGAGCTGCGAAGAAAGCTATTCAGCTTCACCTGATTCCAAGCAACTTCAATCCCCTCATACTCATCAAAACCCTTATAACTGCCATCAAATTGCAGCAAAAACAAAAAAAAACCATATTTTTATTTGTAAAATCAAAGAAAACGAAACAGAAAATCACCCAAAAATGTAAAAAGTTACAATCTTTTAGCAGATTATCATCAAAAGAATAGATAACAAGAATTCATACACTGTTTTCGAAGCTCCCATGCCAAGGATCTCACCATACTGCAAAGAACAAAAAAAAAAAAAAAAAAGGTTTTAAGCAATGGGGCTCTGCAAAGGGGAAGAACAAGAAGAACACTAACGAAACTTACTCTACAATATCTACCAGCGGGATCAACTTCCAGAATCTGAGGGTACTCCGAATCCTTCGGATCAGAATCCTTCTTACTCCAAAAAGCAATCTTTCCACAAAATTTTGAAATCCCTTTCACTGATGATGACAATGGAGCCATCAATTAGTAAGCTTTCGCGAAGAAAAAGAAGATACCTTCTTTGAGGTATCAAAAGGAGAGACTTTGATGGAGGGAGGGAGAGGAAATTGAATGTAGATAGAGGTAGAAGAAGAAATATAGGACAAAAAACTCTAATCCAACTATAAAGGTGTAATTTTTGGACTGTATTTATTCTCCCCCTTAGCTAAGTTGCGTTGGATGGCTGCATCTCTGCATCCACCGTTCCCCCAAATCTTTCCTCTCTCTTTCATAAAGGTAAAACAGACAAATGAGTTGATTTAATGAGTCAAAATTTGAAAAAAATTAAGTAACAAATCTCTCTCTGCCAGCAACGCACAGGGCCGTCACCCATAATGAATTATTATTGCAGCCATATCTGAATTATCTTTGTTTTTTTCATTGGACTATTTACACAGCTTACTTAATCAGTGCAAATCAATTTACAGATATCCTGAACTTCAGGGCTTGTATATAAATAATGATTGTGTGTTTGTCATTAAATTTGCTAGAAAAATCCCCCTTAAAAATATATATTTACACAATTATAGTTTAGGTTCAGCTATCAAAGGACCTCTTTTTTAAGAAAATTGGGAGAAGTTAATTATAATAATATGAGCTCTAGATCTGAGGTGACAAATGGCAAACCAAAGCTTCCCAATTTGAACTTGTACTGGCTGCCATCAATTGAATCTTTCTTATAAAACCTAGTAAAAAATTAGGAGAATTTATATGCAATGCACTTAAATCTTATCATTTTATGCCTAAAATTCATTTTTGACACAAAATATCACTTTGTTGAGTTTGATAGACAAGTCAACCAAATCCTAATTGAAACTCTTCGATGAGCACCACGTGTCATAACCAAACCTTGTTGGGACGAGCAATGATGGAGCCCGTGATATGTGGACAATGAAGACAAGGCAAATTATTGTTAGATCTTGTTAGTGAGGATTGAAAGTGAGTGAATGATGAGGAAAGGGATTCATGGGAGCAATGGTTGTGGGACTGATGAGGAAGTCACTGAGGGGACTTGGAGACGAAGAAGCTAGAGGTCTGTGAAGAGCCTCAATGAGAGGAGCGATTATTACATCAGGATTCTGTAGGTATGACCGGTAGTATTTGAAGTGTTATTGGTAGTATTGTAGTGCTATTATATGATAATACCACCACAATAACACTAATAACATCTAAAATACTACAATCCACATCTAATCAGGACAACTCATCCAGATGTAATAATTTCTCTAACAAAAGATAGACGAGAAAGTAGTATTTAGTGGCATTAATAATATTTTTAATGTCATTCAGAGATTCAAGGGTTATGTAAATAAATATTTAAAAACATTCTCACTAGTATGTAAATAGCCTTTTACTTTTCATTTACGGCCAACGTATAATGGGCGGGGTGGAGTAAATTGAAGGCTTATTCGTTAACCAGTCAATTTTGTTCCAGCAGTACTGTAACCATTTAATATTAGTCTAATATTCTCTATTATTTATTTTTTAAGTCATTAAATGATGCCATTTTAATATTAGAAAACTTTACTTACATAAAAAATACCACCAATATTTCAAAATATTATTTATTAAATTATTAATGAAGAGTTGCGAATGACTGGGGATAAAAATTACACCGCAAAGTCTAAACGTAGCCAAGATATTATATATATATATATATATATATACATATATTAAAGAAATGGTCAAAGACTATTATTCGAGCCCGACCACTCCTAATGTGCCTAATAATTTGAGGACCAAGCTTTACATCAAGGAGATTGGAACCTCCGACAACACGGGACTTACAATTGACATCGTAGATGCCAAACAACAAGACAAGATAGGCGGCATATTATATGTATATATGTGTGTGTGTGTGTGTGTGTGTTGAGAAATTAAGGCGAAAAAAATACAAGAATCGACACAAATCCAGAAGAAAACATAGAGATTTAACGAGGTTTGACAATAATATCAATGTCATTGGGAGCAGAGAGACGACTTTTTCTTCAATTCAGGAAAGAGTACAGAATGTTCCCATAGGGTTACAATATAACATATATGTATAAAGCTGACGTACAATATGTAATTACAAAGTTCTCTCTGTACTGTACCGCGGGGTCGATGCCCCCAACGCACGTATCGTAATTCCTCCGATTCGCTAACTCGCTCCATTCCGCTCCAGCATCTGTCCCTTATATGATATATGAGTCATACCTAACAAAATGTATATAGATACAGATGTGAAGGTAAATTTAACATCTAAAGCATAAATTTCAATAAAATAAATGAAGAGTAATAATTTACAAAAAAAGGTTTTACATAATTGAGATAAAATGTTGAGATTTTTATGCTCGACTTGCAGATAGTCTGTCTTCATTAATTGACTTATAAAGGCTTTCCACATCCAAGCTTGTCTCTAAAATTCAGCAAGCCTTCTTTTCAGCTTTCTCAGCCTTTCTTTTAGATAACATAAATAATAGAAATTTACATACATATCATATAATTCTTATGTATTTACCTCACAACTAAACCTTTATATTTACATTTATAAACCTTGTCATACAGCTATGCATAATATACATAGGTTTGTATTTGTTGAATCATAAGTTATCTTTTGTGAACACGTCTCAGAGTTTGAACCGGGAGGAGGGATAGAGAGAGATTAAGTTAATTCCTTTATATTCATCATTTTGACCCCTATTTGTTGGGGTGTATTTATATGGAAATTGCTCTTAATACCATTAATTAGACTGATCTTATACTAAATATGCATTGCAATTTGAATTTGAATATGATGGTAACTAGCTGGTTGATTGGCTTGGGCTCGGTCGGCTGAGGCGACTGGTCGAGTGAAAATCACACCCGCCGAAGTAAAAACCGATCAGTCGACCGGTTGCGATCGGACTACGGGCGTGCTCCACCAATTTGATCTCTCGTCATAGTATGTTGGTTGACTTCCATCGAGCGGTCGGTTGCTAAATGAACAGTTAAGTTCGCGCTCTTTTGGTCTGACACCTTAATCATCTGACTACTATAATGGACCATTAATTGATTTGAGATCTGTATCAGTATTCTAGCGTATACATATTAGTTCTTTAAGTTTTTTTGCTCCTTGGAAGTGATTGGAGCGATAAGGACATGTAAACTATTTAATAATCAGTAGCACTAAAATCAAGAAAATTAACATGATAATTAATTTCCCTTTGGATTTAGTGTTCAGTGTGCTCTATAAATAGAGCCATAAGCATGATGTGGTATCGTCATTTTTTTTCATTTTCATTTAACCAAGTTGCATCATGGTTGATGGTTCGATTCGGATCACTGTGAACCCCAGAATTTATGCCAAGGCGGGTTTTGGGCCCTTAGTCTATGTAAAGAAAAATAAGGTTAACAAAGGGAAACAGTTGAGGCAAGAACCTTAGTTGGTTGATCAGGTGACTCATATGGAGATTCTAAGGGACGAATGTTGAAAATCCCCCATTAGGAGGTTGCATCCCTTGAGTCTGGCATGGATGTGGGCTCTAAGGGTCAGCGGGCCATGCTCACGGAAGGCACTGAGGCGATCGTAAGGGAGCCGACATGGGAAGCGATTGTTGTCTCTCCTCATCCGCTATTGCAGGAAGGTAGAGGCACCTCAGTGCGAGAGAGGGAGGAGCTTTTTAAGAACCTTTCCTCTATAGATAAATTTATGGGTACGTAAGATTTTTTTTTTGTTGTTGACGGTTCTTAATAATTTATTGGTATTATTCTCACATAGATGAATTGGTCGACTACGAGGATCAACAAAATGAGGGGCAGTAGAAAGATGTTGCGGAGTCTGTTCCTGCGATAGTGGTCAGTCTATAGGCAGAATAAGAGGGGCTTTTGTCGGCAACCACCTCAAAAGGGCACCAGCCCCCGAACCCTTTTACCTGCCACCGGCTCCGAACAGGAGCGAACAGAGTGGTGTGTGTCTTGTTCTGAAGTCATGGAGCAGCAGACAGGGGGACCAGGCCCTTGGCGACGAGGGTTGTCTTTCAGAGGGAGTGACCAAAGGCCTGACCATAGATTTTGTGTGAGAGTTATCAGCCCATCTGAAAACCATGGGCTCGGATGTATCAACCTTACATGCGGAAATCACCGCCCTGCAAAGGGGGCTAGTCAAGGTGCTGCGCAAGCTAGGGGAGTTTTGCGAGTCAAGCAACCTAGGTAAGTTCCAACAGAAAGCTAACTGAATGGATCAGAGTAGATAAGACAAGTTGATGGTCCTCTGAAGGTTAACTCGGAAGGGGTATGTCCCGACTGAGGCCTTGGACGACCCGTTCACAAAACAATTTGTTCTTGACCAGTAATAATGTTATTTCATAATGCAACGACATTTGAATAAATTTGAAAAGATATTTGGTGTGACATTTATCATTATGTGATGCCTCATTTTACACGTTCATCTTATAAATAGGGTTGTTTTCATTCTTTTTCTGTTTTTCTTTTTGAAGAAGTCTTCGGTTTATGTATCGTCGTATACTTCTCTTTTCTAAATAAGTATTTCTCTCAAACAATATGAATGATCAGGAGAATAGAGGAACCGAAAAAAATAGGACATGCACCAAAAATGCACAAACAAGAGAAAGAACGTGGAAAGCTTCTGTGCGACAAAGCTTACAAGGATATGTCAGACATGTACATCCGAACAAGATCAGATTAAAATAGCTTGTACCAAATATTCGCGAACAAATACTTACGAAAGCTACCCACAACCAGAGATTCATGTGTTTTTGTCTGTTTTTGGGGTTCAAAATACTCCCAAGTGGACGTGTCCCACTTGGTTAATTACACATTGGGGGTTGCCTAAGAATACTCTTGATCTAAGTAGTTCTGCTTACTAATGAGTGATAACTAGCATAGGGTTATCAGAGAATGGTTTATTTCATACGAAACCTCCCAACACTTTCTGAGTTCTCGCTAAGCCACAGGACATAGAGTAAGTCTCTCACGGGCACAAGTGGTTAGCGGCTTATAGGCAATTAAAGCTCGTGAAACATTGAAGGTTGCCCAAGAGTACTTTTGATCTAAGGAGTTCTGCTTACTAACGAGTGATAACTAGCACAGAGTTATCAGATGATGGTTTATTTTATACGAAACATCCCGACACTTTCTGAGTTATCGCTAAGCCACAGGGCAGAGAGTAAGTCTCTCACAGCCACAAATGGTTAGCTGTTCATAGGCAATCGAGGCCTGTGAAACAACCAGGTCATCTGTTAGAAAACATCCCACCGCTTCAAAGCTATACTGAGCTTTAAGGACAGACGACAAATTGTCGTATTCCAAACGAGCAACAACCTATCGCTAAGTGAGGCCCGCCAAATGACATCGACGAAAGCAACAGAAGCGACATGGCTCAACAGGGGTAGTCAAAGGAAGAAATGAGTAAGCTCTAAAAAGGTAGATGTAGCTAGGTCAAGATATCAAAGACCCTTCTTCACAAACTACTAAAATCCTAAGTTTATCTGGTCGTAAAGGTAGTTGACCCAACAAGTCCGGAGATCGCCGGTCTGCAATCTGTGAATTGTGGCGTCCACGGGTACCTCGGTAGCCCTAATGTCAAATGAACGAAACTCTATCCTATGATTATCAGGTGTAGCTCCAAGAGGTGAGACTTATACCCGTCGAAGTGACGAGGATGTCGCTGAAAACATGAGAAAGAGAGGTTCGGCTACAAAGTTGGAAACACTACCAACAAATAGACTTGCACCCCGTCTGAATCGGAGAGCCTTCTAACGACCTATGCTTTCTAGACAACTTTATATGTAAAAAGATATGCGAGGCCAGTGTGTAACTA